CAGATGACATCAAACGCATCACAAAATTCAGTTAACCCATTATACAAAAAGGTTAGTGGACCCCCTGACAAGAATTTTCTGTGATGTAATTATGCCATCTACTGAGCTAGATCATAGTCTGTAGGGAAGACACGCCCAACTTACTCTTTGGTCACTATCAACTAGTGACGTATAGAAAACTTCTCCTTTTAAAATTAAGGACAGAGGAAAGAAAGATACTCTCTGGGGGGACTCACACCTAACATCTAAGATCCGACATCTGGAGCCAAAGCTGGACACACTTAACTCTTTGTATCTTTGCCAACTAACACTTAACTTTGAAATTGTTTATAATTCAAAACTCTGAAAACTTTCCTATTTTCGCACAATTCTCTATACTCATACCTGCATTCACCATTTGTGGGATACATCTCCAAGCCTAAAAAAAAAATAAAAAAATTCTACTGGTTTTATTAAATTAATTTAAATAATTGATTTTACTAAAAGGCAGAATATACTTGGATAAAAGCTGGTGATTCCAACATTAAGGAGTCATGATTTGTTAATAATATATAGAATTAGTAATTCCATTCCTGTAGGTGGACCAATGAACTCCATATTACTTTTAACTTTAAAAATAGAACACCAGGCAATTATCCAGATATATTAGCTTATGTAATTTAGAAATACATCTTAATTAGGAAAGTTAGAATTCTGCAAACGTAAAATCTGGTTAGAATTATTCTTATTGGATGGACATAGGAATGGTTACTGATCTGGTATGAAAAATATTATATTTGTCGTTGTAATATGAAAGGATATCTTGCCCATGAGAATTGTAGCCAGCAGTGAATGATTTAATTCAGTGTGATTTGACTGTCAGACAAAGTTTTTATTGCTTTACGCTGTGCTGCTGTGTTAAACCGAATTCAAAGTAAAGTGTCCTGTCGTAAAACTTGTAGAAAACTGCATACATGTCGATATAATGTTGCTAGATTGAACTATCTAAAAATTGTGTTAAATCACTGCCATATTGTATAATTATGCTGTAACTAAATATTCACTGATTATTGTCATCCATGTTACATATTAATCTTATTACTATTGTCACAATAAATTATATTTTTATAATTAGTTTGTGATTAATGTGTGAAATAAAAATCCCATAGGTATAAATAAATTCCATTGTTGGGAGTTGGGGGTGGGAGGGGCAAGCAACTAGAAACTTGGTTAATAGTCATTTCACCTCCGTTCCACAACCCCACTACTTAGGGGATGGTTGGGTCCACTGATTTCCCAAAGTAACCTAAATGTGGTTGCCCAGTTTTGGGTTTCCTTTGCAGTAACTGCAGGACCACCATTCAAGTGGATGGTCCTGGGATTACCAGATGCATATTAAGGAAGTGAGACTAGCAATCGTGGCATCAGAGGTTGCACTTCGCACAGGATATATCCAAGTAAACCTGGTACATGCATCAACACATACAAAAACATATTTCTAACCATGAGATGTTGGCAAATGTCCAATATAAAGTAAATCAAAAAGTACGTTAGGTATAAATATTTCAATAAACAGTACATCAGTAATGTGGTCTAGTTATCAATAAGCAAATGCTTACAATTACTAAACACATAAACTACAGCATTTTCCATATTGGGCCACCAATATTCCTTTTCAGGAGTTAGAAGTACATTACCTCTATCTATATGAGCTTGTCCTAGCCATGAATAAGCTTTTAGTGCAAGTCTCACTTTCCTTTACAGGAAGAACAACCAACTTTTTACGTTCAATGGTTATTATATAATTAACCCCTCTAAACGATAGGAGTATTTGGATAACCAGGTGGATTAGGTCTGGTTGTCCTTGCAAGCAAAAACTCTGCATTATGGCTGAGAGATAGGGTATGCTTTTGTGATCCAATGACCACTTTAACAGAGTAGCATTGGTAGACACATTGTATTAAAGTGCCAGTTAATGACCAAGCTTTGTTATAAGCATGTCCATATGCGTATTACAATGCCAGGCTTTTAATTTGTTTCCACAAAGCAATATGCAGATGTGCATATAAACTCACAACATGTCGTATGAAAAACAGTTTGAACACCAGACTGAGCCTTGAGAGATCAAGTGGACCAAGATAGTGGACCAAGATAGATAAATGAAATCTTTTACAATTAGTATACTTTCTTTAAATTACTTTATTTTCTGTATTGGAATTTTAATGGAATTTTAAAAGTAAAACAATGTGCATCTAAATGCCAATTTTTTTAGTGTCCATATTAATCACAAGGCCGTTCATAACGTGAGACAAATAGAACTGCTTTTTTAAAACTGAACAGAGTGTTTACACAAAATGACCTTGCACTGAAAATTCATTAATTAATTAAACGTAGTTAGAACCTCCCTCAAAGTCCTGATGACTTTGCAAGAAACATGTCGTCCTTAAATACTGGGGAAAGTCTATTAAACAGTGAAATAGCATTTATACCCTGTGTATTATTTTGTCACAGCTATAATGTGCAGTATAACAAACTATTTTATAAGTGTTGTGCCAGCTGTTGATTAAAAGCCAGTGGTCTAGAGAGCTATAGAATATTTATTTATTTATTCTTTAAAGCTCCGACCTCAATCAACAAAGCAATATTGTCCATTGAAATCTGATGTCTTTACTTGTTAGATAAATAAAGTTCTGCTGCTCCCAAAAATTCTGAATATGTTCAGAGATTTCTTGGGCAATAGTCAATGCAAAAAAAGCCAACTTTACATTTATACTAAACCTGCCTGTTGTAAACGGATTCTGTAAAGTTCATGCCATAAGTACTTGTACTTGAATCTGTTTAACAATTGTTTTCTTTTCTTTGTTATATTGATTTACTTTTAAAGATACCTGCATTTTTAATTAAATATCCTTTATATGTCTTTAAGGCATATATTATCTGTAAATTAAGATTATATACAAAAATGAATGTTCTGGGTGTTCCCATGATTCATTTTCTATCATTTTTTTAAAGTCTGGAATCAGATTCCTTTTGGGATGAGCACCCCTCTCAGCCCCCCAGTTTCAGAGGCCCCTTTGGAGGTGACCACAGAAAAGTATAGATTCTATAAAATAGATGTGAGGGGGCTTTGGACAATAATGTCACTTTAATCATACTTTTCAAAAATTTAAATGTCTGTTTAGAACAGTGGTAGTCAACCTTTTTCTACCTACCGCCCACTAATGCATCTTTCTTGATGGAAAAATTTCCTTACCGCCCACCAGTTTTCGCGCAAGTGCAGAATATTTTTTTAGAAAGGAGGGTGTTTTAAAATAAATGTACATTTATCTTTTTATTTCTACTTAATGCATGTTTATAATGTTTTTAACTTTATAAAGTTTAATTGGAAAACAATAAAGTAAATTGAAATTACCTTTACTAGTGATTAATGAGATCCTTGAGGCTGATGCTGCAAGACTAAATATTTGATATCTGGTTCGATTTTCGTAAGGAACAAACGAAGGTCTCCTCTTTCAGTGATATTCAGATGACTTCTCTGTTTGCGCATAATATGATTTCTCATCTGTGCGTCAGCTCATCTCATCTCCCTCCTCAATTCCCCTCCCCACCTTTTTTTATCCCTTTTTTCTATTTTTTTAACCTTCCTTATAGCAATGCCCAGTAGGAAGGCTTAGCTAGGTAGCCCACTATAACAGACAGGCAGACATACACACACACACACACACACACACACACACACACACACAAAAAGACACATACATACAAACAGACAGGCACGCATACATACATACATACATACATACACACAGACAGGCACACATACAGACATACAGATACACAGACAGGCACACATACATACATACAGAAAAACAGACAGGCACACATACAGACACACACACACACACAAGACACATACATACAGACAGGCACACATACATACAGACACATACATACAAACAGACAGGTACACATACATACAGACAGGTACACATACAAAGACACACACATAAGACTTACATAGACACACACAACACATACAAAGACACACACAACACATACATACAAAGACAAGACACACATACATACACACATATATACAGATAGACACACACACACACACACACACACACACAAGACATACATACATAGACACACAAGACATACAGACAGACACACACAAGACATACAAAGACACATACACACAAACAAACACACACAAAATATTTTAGTCACCCTGTTTCCTACCTTTTGGGTGCAGGAGGGTGACTTTCCCTGGGGTCCAGTGGTGGCTCAGGTGGATGGGAGTCAGAGTTCCTACTCTGACTCCCTGGTCTTCCTCCTGCGCGGCTCTCAGTGTTAGCTGGGAGGAGTGACATGCAGTCACTTCCTCCCAGCGTGTGATGTAATAACTATTAAATCGCCCAGCGCTGACCGGGCCCCCTGTCAATCCACAACCATCGGGTGGCCCTGACAGCATGGGCCAACTGATGGACCCCTTGGATGGTGGCCCCGGCGGTTTGCCACGCGGTCCGGGGCCGCAAATGGTGACGGCGGTACCTGGTCGCAGGGGTGCCGCCAGCTCGCACTCGCCCTCCCGCCCACCCAATCTCTGAAATCCCTACCGCCCACCTGGAATCCTGAAACGCCCACTAGTGGGCGGTAGGGACCAGGTTGACGACCCATGGTTCTAAATATTGAAGGTGGTGTAATATCACATTAAGTTCATATATATTCACAATGATCTTACTACATATTATTAAAATTAGCCTCTTCCAGCATTAGAACTATCTCACACTGGAATTAGTGTAGGATGCACCAATATTGTGGTTCTGTAGAATATGGCCATGTGGTGGAACT